GGTGCTGAACATTCGGTGGTGACTAATCAAGTTGCTCCTCCATCTGGAAGAACTATTACTGTAATAGGAGCAACTGGAAGAAGTGCTGAAAAACCGTTTCTTAAAAGTCGACTCTGTACATTGGGAGGCCACGTAGTAAAACATCAATTCCTTTATATGCCTGAGTGTCCAGTCCAATTGCTGGGACGTGATATGCTATCCAAATTACAAGCGCAGATTACGCTCCTACCAAATGGAACAACATCCTTAAAGTTTAATGGACCCTCAGGTATTATGACATTGTCCGTACCAAAGGAAGAAGAGTGGCGACTTTATACAGTGTTGACTAGCAAAAACCCGAGGAGTGATGAATCCTTATTTAACATACCAGGAGTTTGGGCAGAGAACAACCCACCAGGACTGGCCCGCAATATTCCACCTATTAAAATCGAACTAAAACTTAGGGTTTATCCAGTAAGCCTGAGACAATATCATATTCCGCAGAAGGCTAAGAAGAACATCCAATCTTATCTGGATAAGTTCATACGGTATGGTATCCTAAAATTCTGTACTTCCCCCTGGAACACCCCATTGCTGCCCCCAAAAGCCCGGTACAGATGAGTATCGACCTGTGCAGGACTTGAGAGCAGTCAATGATGCGGTTGTTAGTATACATCCAGTCGTGCCCAATCCATATAACCTGCTTGCGTTAATTCCGGGCGGGGCTACTTACTTTACAGTCTTAGATCTCAAAGATGCCTTCTTTTGCCTCCGAATTGCCGCAGAAAGCCAATGTATCTTCGCTTTCCAATGGGAAAATGCTGTAACGGGCTCGAAACGCCAAATTACCTGGACAAGATTGCCCCAGGGGTTTAAAAATTCACCTACCCTATTTGGTTCAGCTCTAAGTCAAGATTTACTAGATTTCGAGTCTATCCCAGGAGAGTGTGTATTATTACAATATGTAGATGACTTGTTGATAGCAGCAGTTACAAAGGAAGTATGTCAGCAAACAACGCACGATCTACTACACATTCTCTGGAAGGCAGGATACAAGGTGTCAAGAAGGAAGGCTCAGTTGTGTTTGCCAACTGTCAAATATCTGGGATTCCATATCTCTGAAGGTCAAAGAATTATGGGGCCAGAGAGAAAAGAAGCTGTGTCCCAAATACCGATACCCAGGAATAGAAGACAAGTGCGAGAATTCTTGGGGGCAGCAGGCTTCTGTAGGATATGGATTCCCAGCTACGCGATACTGGCAAAACCTCTGTATGCAGCTATCAAAGGTACAGAGCACGACCCCTTCTTATGGACTCAAGAACAGCAAGCGGCATTCGAAGATGTGAAGAGGGCTTTGATGAGTGCCCCAGCATTAGGTCTACCTGACCACACACGGCCATTCTACCTGTATGTACATGAGCAAAGAAGAATGGCTGTGGGAGTATTGACACAGTACTTGGGATCATGGCAAAGACCTGTTGCCTACATGCCTAAGCAACTGGATGCAGTGGCCAGCGGACTTCCACCTTGTCTAAGAGCTGTAGCTGCAGCCGCCCTGCTAGTAGCTGAAGCCGATAAACTCACTCTGGGTCAAGAACTTTATGTACGAGTTCCACATGCAGTACAGACGTTGTTGAATTACAAAGGAAATCATTGGTTTAGTAACAGCCGTATGACCAAGTATCAAGCAATGTTGTGTGAAAACCCAAGAGTGCATTTAGAGACTGTAAATACCTTAAATCCAGCTACCCTTTTGCCACAACCTACTGAAAGTCAACATGATTGTTTAGAAGTAATGGATGAAGTATTTTCAAGTAGACCAGATCTTCGTGATTTTCCCATCCAGAACCCTGATGTTCAATATTACACCGACGGCAGTAGTTATGTAAAAGAAGGGATCCGCTATACAGGATATGCAGTAACAACGATAGACAAGGTGATAGAAGCTCGGCCACTGGCAAAAGGAACATCAGCACAAAAGGCAGAATTGATAGCACTGACACGAGCGTTACAATTGGCTGAAGGTTTAAGAGTGAACATCTACACGGACTCCAAGTATGCGTTCTTAACCACTCATGCCCACGGAGCTTTGTATAAAGAAAGAGGACTATTGAATTCAGAAGGCAAAGAAATCAAATACGCAGCTGAGATCCTACAACTATTGGAAGCAGTGT